ATTACAACATAGTGGGAGTTCTAACACATTCCAGGGGATGAAACCATAAATTAATTTTGTAGTTTAAATTATGTGAATGGGGGCTGGGGATTTAGCTCAGCGGCATAAGTGCCTGCCTTGCAAGCAGGTGGTCGTGAGTTTGATCCCCGGTACCAAAAAAAAAATGAAAAAGACAAAAAAAAATTATGTGGCCAGGGATTTAGCTCAGCTGCATAAGCATCTGCCTTGCAAGTTCAAGGTCATGAGTTCAATCCCTAGTACCAAAAAAAAAATATGTGAATGTGAATGATATTTAGTCATTCTTTATAGTAAGGACAGAAATCAATTCACTTGTTACATCAGTGTCACATACAATGTACCTAAAGTCACATTAATCTGTTCTAGCGAAGATACCATAGTGTCTTAATCACTTTTCTTACTGCTGGGATACAATATCTAACACCTACAACTTAAAGGAAAAGAGGTTTACGTTAACTCACAGTTAAGGTCAATGGTCAGCTGGCTCCAAAGCAGATACAGCACAGCAGAGAGGAATAGCAGCAGAGGAAATGCTGCTCATGTCAGCCAGGAATCAGACAGAGAAAGGAGGAGCCAGGGATGGAGATAAACCTTTGCATGTCATGCCACTCCTCATTTCTGAACCAAGACTTAACTTGTAAAAGCACATTTACTTGCCGAACTCAGCAGTAGATGAATCTACCCATGAGTACAGTAGTCCCATAATCCAAGTACTCTTAAGAATCCTATATATGAGTGCAAAGGGTGTAGAGAGATTTCAGAACTAAACCACAGCACAGGGCCTCATTAAGTCATCATATCACCCAGACCTGGCTTAAATTTGCAATCCTCCTGCCTCAGCCTTCCAGAATTCTGGGTTTACAGTTGTGCATCACCATATCTAGCCTATTTTATATATCTTATTTATATATCTCAATATTTCTGCTTGCTCTTCTTTAATTTAGTGTTGTGGAACAATATATTTGCCATTGTTTCTTATCATTGAATCATTTCTTGATAAAACCAAACATTTCTTTGCCACCTAGTCAGATTCATTTCTACATCAATCATATAAGTCATGCCTTGAAATTACAATCATTTCTTTTGTTCTCTGGTGTCTTTATATGTATTATGTGTGGTAATAATGATTTTTTAAATCCTCTCATTATTCAAAATGAGGCACATACACTATATTTCATTGGCAATATGATAAAAGGATCAATAACATGTTTTTTATTTTTAGTGACTTCTCATGTATTCAAAAATATGTTCCTTTACTGATTTTTGCCATCTCTAACCTTCTTCTTAGACCTAAATCTTCCCCTCACCCTCACCTTATTTTATATGATATGAAAGTTTGGCAATTAAAATTATCTCTCCTCAAAAATATAATTCTCCTTCCTTCTGGCCCAATGATATAAGCAGTTCATTTAAAATGTTCTTTTCTTTCTTTTTTCTTTTTTGTGTCAGGGATCAAACTCACAACCTCATGCTTGCCAGGCAGGCGCTTATGCCACTGAGCTAAAACCCTCACCCAAGAGTTCAGTTATATTGCCAAGTTAAAAACCATGTAAAAGTTAATTCCTCCTATAAGACTGAGTTTTGCATTCCTTAAATGGTATTAATGAGTTCAGTATTAATCACCATTGTATAATGATTGAGAAATTATCAGAAATGTCTGGCGTATAGCAGGCTTTCATAATAGTTACACTCTGCCACATTCCACTTTCTCTGCTCTGTGAAAGAAATTACAGTACTTTGGCATTCACTTAATAGCATGACTGTCAGAGAGAGCAATGATAAATATAAGAGAAAGAAAGGAAAGTATGAGCTGATTGTCATAATGCATGACTACACTCTGGTGTCATTTTCATGTTATAGTATAATTGAACAAAGTGGATTCACTTTTTGGAGAATTCAAAGCCAGTAAGTGCAACCAGGAGATAAATGAATGAAGAGACATTTTTACAGCAAACTAGGAGGGCACAGACAATCATTCCTAAGGCAGTACCTCCAACGCTTTTACTGGAGAAACTCATATGCATTCATGCATGACTGACTGACTTACGGTTAGGTAGAGACAGACACATTCTTGAGCATGCTCAGTTTTATGTAATGCCTTTTCATACATCCCATGTGCAAAAAATGAGGAGCATTCCCATCCTGCATAGAGGACTTTGTATTATAATGAGTAAAGTTTACTTCTAGGTCAACTAAAAGGGTGCCACAAGTTTAGGTGGTCTGGAGCACATATTTAGGTCACCTTGTAATTTTCTATGGCAGACTTTGTCGGAAACAAAAAACAACTTTAGAGGTAGACTTACAATTATTTCAAAAGGCCACAGCTTTTTTTTCCCCTGTAAGCTTAGGTGATTGTCCTCCTTGAAAATACTGGCCTAAATGCTAGTAATAACTAGCAAAATACTGGACTAGAAGCTAGCAATTGCTAAAGAATGGGAAGAAAATGAACTACTTTCTTTTATTTCATGCATTGTATTCTCATTTTTACTCTTTGAAAAGCAGACACAGAATTTTACATGAAACCTAAGAAAGATGAAATAATTCCAGAATGTAATAAATATTTGTTGAATACTCTAAATATTTAGAGTATTCAAATAAATTTATTTAGAATACTCCAAATATTTGTTGACACTTAGAGGAAAGGGAGCAGTGCAGAAGCACTGTTAATCCAATTTCACAAATCTTCAAAAGCCCATCATGAAAGAATGCTTAAGGCCATTGCCCAAATTTCATGTTTTAAGTCAGTTGACTCTCCCATAAAATGGCTTTTATGTCTCTTCTATATAAAAGTATCATATTGATGCGTATCACTGCTGAGGGCTAAACCATGTTCACAGTCTTGCTGGTCAAGATGTCTGAGAAATGTAATGTATAGGATTCCAGATTCTACAATACGGGAAACCATAAACGGGGTGAAAAGACTTCCCAGTGCCAGCTGAAAATATGTGGGCAAGTTCTCTGAGTTTTACTCGTCTGATCTTTCCAATTGCTTTGAGTATCTGATTCCTACATTAATCTTTTCTGTTTAAAATTCCTAGTGAAATTCTCTTTTACTGGCTAAATGTTGAGTGACATACTGTATCAAATATTCAGATTTAATATTTCTGATACAAATGTACTGTGATTCATATTTTGAGAATTAATTCTTGAGGCACTTTGTTTCATATCAAAGAGAATAGAATCACATCCCATTTTTATACTTACATTGTGCTACTATTTCAATACAATATTTTTGATTAAAATTATAATTGTTTAAAAGAGAATAAGATGGAAGATTAGAGAAACTACCCATGGACTCAGGTAATCTTGAGTAAATTGTTGAATGAGGAAAACTACATAAAGACAGATTCTTATGAACCCAGAATTCCAACTTTCTGAATTTGCTATTCAGTTTTAACTAGTTGTTACCAGTCAGAAACACACAAACACTACTGCCAATTTTCAAATGTTTTCAAGAGCCTTTTTTTAAAGGGGGTAGGAAGCATACTTTTTAAATGTTGTTGAGAAAGTAAATGAAACATTGTACAAGTAAAACAACACGTCTCTGAGCTAGACTGAGGGACCTAGGCCTGAAGGAGCACGGCTTTTGACCTTTGTCTTAGGACTATACTGGGTTAGAGCAGGAGGAGTTAAAAATAAAATGAGATAACATAAAATGTGTTTTGTTTCAAAATGACCCCGGGTAATGGAGAAGGACAAAAAACTATAATTCATTACAAGTATGCATCAGATATAGGTGCAATTCAGAAGAGTGGCTTGAATTCCAAGCAAGGACAGAACATGTTACCTGGAGGCAGTGATTTATTATCTAGGTTTCAAGGGATGATAAGATATGATAAGGACTTGAAATACAGAATGAAAATAAGACTGAACAAAAAAACCTACCCAAGAGAAACTTTTGCACAAATGTACCAGGATGTAAAACCCTTCACAGGGAAATACATAGGATATTGTAAAATCTTTATGGAAAAAAACTATAGATTCTCATGACAAATGTAGATGCATCTTAGAAACAAAATACTGTATGGAGTCAAAGAAACAAGTTCCAGAATTCAGGAAAAAGATACAAATTTTTGTGAAATTTGAAACCAATCAAAACTAAACAATGCTATTTAGGCATTTGTGACAAGAAAATATGTTAAAAGAGCAAGAAATGATAAACATATTTTAGGATTTCGGGAGTTTGAGGGAAAAGGAGATAAAAGAATTAATTTATGAATAATATTGCAGTTCTTGGCCAAGGATTTAGCTCAGTGGCTTAAGAGTCTGCCTGGCAAGTGTGAGGTCATGAGTTTGATCCCTTTTACCAAAAAATAAAGTTGCTGTTCTTCAAATGGGTAACCAGATTTATGAGAGTTTCTTGTACTTTAGTGTGGGTGTATGGGTAATTAAGTAAGTCCTTACTTAAAGGACCATGAAGAAAATATGTAGATAGATTTTCTTTATGTGTATTCTCTGTACTAAGGAGCTATAAAACAAGGCAGGATATATTTAAGGCATACTTTAGATGTAAATTAATAGATTTTTCCAAACTTTTTTTTCTTTTAGAGACAGGGTTTCCCTATGTAGTGTAGACTTGCCTTAAACTGACTTTGTTACCCAGTTTGACCTCGAACTCGCAGCAATCCTCCTGCCTCAGCCTTCCGAGCGCTGGGATTACAGCAGTGGGCCACCATGCCTGGTTAGATTTTTTAAAATTGGTTTTACATCACTCTGCCAAGGGATGAAGCCTCACTGTACTAGGCACAAATGATCTTTCATCCCATGCTCTTTATCTTTGCCTTTGGCCAGCATCAATTCCCTTTACCGGAGACAGGTTACTCAACGCCACAAGGAGGGGAGGCGTCTTGAGGGTGAACACTGTTCCCATTGGTGGATAGGAAGCTAGAAAGAGGCTCCAGGGAAAGCTGGGAATGGGGGCAACAGGGGCGGGGCTAAGTAAGAGGCGGGGCTAAAGAGAAGGCGGGGATAAACCTAACCAGAGCAAGGCGCCCGTGCAGTTGTACGCAGTTTGCCCTCGCTTTGCGCCCAGTTCAGTCACGCCGCTGACAGGGAAGTATTCCCCTCTTGAAGCTACGGTCTCTACCGCCTACCCCTTCTACGCCGCCAGCGGCGGCGACAGCAGGGCTTGTGCCTCGCTCCTCGCCACCTCCGACTCCCGCCGGCCGCTGACTGTGGCGGCGGCGGCGGCAGCGGCGGCGGCCGCGGCGGCCGCGGCGGCTGCTTCGCTAGGTCGGCGGCGGGGAGGGGGGGGCAGTAGTTTTAAAGTAGACACCCGCCCTTACCTCAGAGAAGGTGAGTTCCTCTCTCGGGGTTGGGGGCGGCTCCATCAACTTCGCTGCCTCTAGTTAGCCCGTCTGAGAACGCCCGGGGCGCGGTTCGCCGCCACCCCACCCCCCACCTGCTGTGGCGCAGTAACGGCCAAACGTGTTAGCCCGGAGAGTGCGAAACGCACCGTGGCAGAGAGGCGCTTCCCTACGTTGCCCCTCGGAGAAAGATAGGGACCTCAGGCAAAGGGACTATCGGTACTCACAAAATAGGAGTTTCTACGAGGGTAAAAAACCCCCAAGAAACCTCACATAGTTTCGGCCCCGCCAGGTTATTTTACGGTACAGCGCTATGATCTGGGAAGAGTGTAGGCAAAGTAAAAGTGCCCTGGACCCAAAGGGTCAGGGAAAACGAAGGAGTGTTAAGGTAAAAATGACACAGAAATCAAGAGAGAAAGGTCAAATAAATGAAAACGAAAATTCCGTTTTAGTAAAATTAAACTTCTTGCTCTGTAGAAACTCCCAGTTAGGAAATTCGTAGACAGACAAGGTTAGAATTTGGTGGTGGTTATCCTGTAGGATTTTAGCGACTGGTGGCAGGAGCTGTACTGGAGAAAGGCGGAGTTTTGGCAGAAGGACAGATTTGAGAAATAACTTTGAAAAGTTTTGTTTTGTTTCGTTCCATTTCGTTTGGTTTTCTGCTTAAGACTGTGTCCTAGTAAAGCAAAGTCTATGAACCCATCTCTAAGTACTTTGGATTTGAGTTAAATGCTCTTGTACCTACCAACACATTACTGCTAGTGAAAATATACTTCTTGAGCATCTCAATACAAGAAGCTTTAGTTCATACAATACTGCATACTTGTAAGCACCCTATTAAAACACCGTAAAATGCGCCATTGAAATGCTTTTTAAAGCAATTTTGGAAATGTTCATACAAGCTGGAGACAGACTCCTCTTCAAAAGATCTCCATAGACAATTTGGCGATCATAAATTTTTGCTAACTTACCTCCAGAGTGAAAAATTGTGGAATGAAATAAAACTTAAGTTCCTTTTTTTGGAATAGGACATCCTATTAAAATTACCCCATAAAAATTATTTTCACTTCACATTTGCAAACGATATATCCCAGTGTACTGTTCTGTAATGTTTCACACCTTTCACTTTGGTGGAATAGCAAAATGGTAAAAACAAATCACCCACAATATTTGCAATAAACACATTTGAATAATGTGCTTACTAAATATGGAATTTAGTGATGCGCTGTAATATGATGATATCTTATTTATTGAGCTCTTAGTAAAGATCACCTTTGGGAAGACTAGTGTCTTCAGTCAGTCTGGATTTATATTATTGTCCTAGAGTGAGGTTTGTAGATTTTTAACTTTCATGCAAACTTTCTGTCCATAACTAGCAAGTAAGTGATGCAAAAATATTTGTTTATAACTAGTAAATAGACAAGGGTAGATTTATGGACATAAAGATTACCACTCAATTTGACTCTCGTGACCTATTCAAGGTAATATAATATTTAGGACCACTTTTTTCATGGTAATTTTTTTGGCCTGGCTCTGTAACTAGTTTTGTTTTATCTTTGAATTTATACAATAGTAAAGGTTTTAAGAGATACAGGTTCAGAAAGTAATAGCAATATCTTATGTATTCTATTATCAGGCAGTAATATGAAGAGAACCCTGGCTTAGGAGTCTGATGCAGTAAACATAAACTGTGTAGCTAATTAATCCACTTGATTTTGTGACCCTGAACAGGTCCAAATCTTGCTGGATTTGGGTTTTGATATTGCTAAACTAGGGAAATTGGGATAAATAATCTCTGAGTTTAATTTCAGGTCTGAGATTATGAACCAGGACTTTGGCTTCCTTCATTAATTCTTTCAGTGGCATTTCCATGTTTATGCACTTCAACAGTAATTCATAAATTACAAGATACCTTGGCCAATAGTCATTATCTCACATTCATTGAATAATGAAATCTATGTTGAATTAGTGTTGATAATTTTCTAGGATACGAAAACCAAATATAACTGATGCTTAAAAGTTGTCTATCATTTCATTTTAGCTAAATCTCCTAAACTGTTCAACAGGTAACAAATAATTGATATGCTACACTGTCCAAAACACTTATAAGGCTCAATGTTTATATTTATAAAATCCATAAGCAGTTACTAGATATAGTAAATAAAAGAGAAAAGAAAAACGTCAGATGATTGTGTGCCAATATCTTTTGTTTTTTCTAAATCCTAGTTAGAATATGGCTTCAAAAGATGTCAAAGAATTATCAGGCTATCAACTATCACAAGTTCGTTTCTGATGAAAGCATTGAAAGTGGATTGACAAAGCATTCGCTGATCCATTTTAAGATATACCTAACACTCAAGGATTGCATGGGATTGGTAGTGAAAAAAATATCAGTGGATATTAGAAATTGTCAAGTATGGCACATTAGAAAAATTATTAAAATGACACTGAGTAGTAAAATTAAAAAGTGGCAAGTGAACATCTGTTCATATGAATGTTCATTTGAAAAGACACATACATGTGCACTCAGAATTCATGGTAAGAGGAATCATAAAATGTTGTGGAATATTTCTTATTTCCTTAGGTAAAGATTGCCAAAAACGTGCATGGCTCAAAAATGAATTTTCTCCCAATAATAATGTTACTGTCTACTCATACTAAAGGCCAAAACAAGAATAACAAAAACCTTCCTTGCTTATTCACTTCTTTCTTTTAAGAAAAGTATGAAATGGTTTTTATTTTAGGTTGGAGCTGTTTATTGTTAACTTATTTGCATAGCATTTATCTAACAAAGTTTTCCTTTTTTACTTCATATTATTAAGTAGTTTTAAGTCATATGTTAGTAAGCTCACCATATGAAAACTAGTTAATTATACCTTTTCCTTCATTTACTAAGAATCACTTATGGAACACTTAGGTATGTGTGCCAGTCATTTCTTAGTACTAAGGATATAGAGACAAATTGATACAGCTATATGAAAGAAGCTGATCATTGTACTTTATAGTAAAATTATAAAACAAATGAGTAGTGAAAATATACTTTTAAATATGGCTAGTTTGGCTCCTTAACTATCAAGAGTATTCCTTTGTTTATTATAAATATGCTATCTGATGATATTGTCTCACTTAATATAAGCACAATGCAGCACATTATGCTATACATCTAATGTTGGTGTCTGCAACGAGTAATCAGTAATCTGTTAGAATTGCTTTTCTGCTTCATAAAACTTTTATTAATACATGTTTGTTATACATAATGATTATATACACTTTAGGGGATTGATACTTGTACATAACACATTCCAATTCCCCCAAAAGTATTCCTTTTTATTTTCCAGGCATCTGATTCATTTATTTATCTTATAAAACCTTATAAGGTTAATTATCATATACAGACTAAAAGCCAACCTGTAAGCCAAAGTACTATTAGAAATCTTAACACTGCATTTGGCAGATTGGGAATGTCTGGAAAGATATTAGAGATTATTTGTTGTTTCCTAGCCCTCTATCTGTATTAGACACCAATATTTGAAAATATTTACTGAGCTTGTTATAAATACTAACTGAGGCAAGTCTTCTTTATTATTCATTACACATCTCTTAAGATAGAATTTTAATTATTTTCCATCTGAAACAAGTTTTACTTATTCACATTTATTAACCTGATGAAATGAATGACATGTATTTAGTGGTTTTCTGATGCAAAGTGGCTGTCAGGAAATCAAGTAAATTAATGGAGTATACAGAATTTTAATTCAGTTTCTGACTTCACAAAAATGACCCCTGAAATCAGTTAGCCACAGAAGCTTATGATTAAGATGATGTGGTTTAAATAAAAATAGCATAAGTATTATACACATAACTAATATTTTCAATTATTGCATTAACTTCTGTTTTATAATTGTTCAGGTGCCATGGGACATCCTTCATTATCTGTTTGATTGTAATTATCTGTGTGAAGTAGCTAACATTTGACAAACACATAAATGAGATATGAATCTAATAACTTGAAAATCTAAGGATGTAACATAGTGCTATAGCTATGAGTGTTAACCATTCTGACAGGTTCAGATCTTCATTCTTCATAATTAATGTTTCTGAAAAATTCCCTAAGTGTAGTGTGGCCTTTAAGGAGAAAAGAAAGTTTAAAATGCCTCAGCAAGTTTAACATAGTTCCCCATCTTTATCTTAGTATGGTACTCATTCTTTCCTAAGGTTATGGTACTATTGAAAATTGCTGTATCAGGTCAGCTTTTACAAAGAAGCATTCTGTTTAATCAAGAATGTTTGAGGGAGGTTGTCTCTAAAGATGCAGTCATAGAAAATATAGCAGATGTGCTTATGTGCTTTTTGCTAATTTCAAAATGCTAATTTCTCAGATTTCAGATTTATAATTATAATATTGCAGTCATCTCCTGTGAGCTTTTCTCCTTTTTTTCATGTTGTTAAAATAGGGTATACAAGAAATTCTCTATCCCATTCTAGAATTCTCTTTTTGTTTGTTTGTTTGTTTGATACAAGGTCTTTCTTTTTTTTTGCAACTGGCCTTCAACTCACTATGTAGTCTAGGCTGCCCTAAAATTTGCAGTGATCAGACCTCTGCCACCTAAGCGCTGGGATTACAGGTGTGTACCACTATATCCAAATTTCTTTGGTCAAGATCAGTGAGACTTTGAAATTCCAACTTTAGCAAAGCATTAAAATAGCTAGTATAAAGTTGTGCCATAAATATTTGATGAATTGTCCTGAGGCGAAAATAGACATTTTTTATAAAAATTCTGGTTTTCATTTTTTAAAATTCAAAGAAATACTCATTTTATTAAATATAACCAGTTATATCTCGAGTCATCTTAGTGGAATAAATTTAAACTTATCAGAGTAATCTAAGAAACATTTCATTAAACATAAAATTTCTTTGCTGCAACTGGAGAAATACGATAATATTCTAATTCCCTTCATCAGAGATCTTGTATGGCTTATAATTCTATA